TAGATGTTTAAGCAAGCATTCTGACACAGTAAGGCATAAAAAAAAACTGTGTGTGTGTGGGTCAATACTTTACAAGCAGGAACTCTGCAACTCTGTAACAAGCAGGAAGACCAGCCAAATATCAGTAGCAGTTTAAAAGCAGCACTGCTGTTACACAAGTGTGGTTCCACTCTTTAAGGGACAACCTGTGCAGACAGATGTTCAAGAAGAGGGTAAAAATAGATTAAAGGGCAAACCCAAGAGTGGCAGCAACAGTAACAATTCATGTTACCTGTAGATAGCTCACTGTTATCGGTTAAGGGTGAGCCTGATTGAATTTTTAATCACGCGGAGATTGCTTGTGGGAATTGGGGAAGATGCATCCGGAAGCTCTTTACTAGGTAGTCTCTGAAAACACAAAAGACGGTCAAAACTCATTTCAATTCCGATGTGGACTTCAAATTATGATGATCAGGTTAATTACCTGTGATCTTGATGTATCAATTGTTGGTATTGGCATAGGTTTGGTTGCTGAAAGACCCTCCTATGTCAAAAAACAAAATTGTTTTTGCACTAACATTGTGTGAGGTCTTATTGTGTTTATGCAAGAAAACAGTTTCAGTGACATGAGCCAACTGTGGTCAACACCTGAGAGTAATGCAATAAACAAAACCCTCACCCCTGCTGGCCTCTCTTCACAGTCCAAGCCATTACTATTTGGAGGGTATGGCTCTTTAAACGCAGAGTCATCAGAAAACACCTGAAGCAAAAGATAATTAATTTACATATTAAGACATGCTTAAAGTTTTGAGACTGGATTAAATATTTTGATATTAGTGATCCACAGAAAGGTTGATCAGTTGTAATGGATTTCTTGACTTGTGTATTTTATAAAGAGCTTAGCACCTCTGTATCTTTGTGCCTCTTAGGTGGATCCTCCTGAGATGGAGAGTGAGGTCTCTTTGGTGCTCCATTGACACTGCTGGGCAGCTCAGTGGGGCTAGGGGAGGAAGAGGTAATACGTGGTATCACACTACGGCCCACCACTGTAGGAATGGTGTTGCCAGCGGGAGGTGCTGGGGGCTTGGCAACTGGAGTGGCGATGGGCACTGAAAAAAA